GAGAATTGAGAATATGCAAATTATAGCAACAATGAGTTTTTACCCATCATATTGTTATATTTAACTCATTAGAAAGTTATTTATTTATTTTTTTAAGTGAGGCAACCTTTGGTTGACCTCACAGATTGCAAAGACCTTGTCAGCTTACAGTCCCTTATTTTTTTTATTTTTTATGCCTACAACACCTGGTCTTCCTAGGTGGTCTCTCATCCAAGTACTAACCAGGCCCGACCCTGCTTAGCTTCCGAAATCATACAGGATCAAGCTTGTTCAGGGTGGCATGGCTGTAGACTCATTAGAAAGTTTAAAAGTTGACAAGAGTGCATACCTTTATTTGGGAAGGAAGCACATGAAAATATTAACAGCACTAACCTCTAAAAAGCAGGCCTACGATTGAATGAAGGGGAGGAAGACATTTCATTTTCATGGTATATACTTGTATAGTACTTGAAATTTTTACTTTATGTATATTTTTCTGAATAAAAATTTCAGATTTTAGAGTCAAATGCCTGGATGCCTTACTTTTTATTATTTTTTTAATTTAGTGGAAAGTTTTGCTGTGTTCAAAATGATAGGGCCTGAAGAACATTTACAATGTATATTGTTGTGAATTTACTAACTGGCAGCGTGGTTCTTACAATAGCAAATAATGCAAAAATATTTGTTAAAAAATCAGGTTCAGATCATTATGCTTTCTAGGTGCTGATTAAAACTTTAGCAGCACAGATTAATAGAACATTCATGTTATTTAAGTATTTTCTTTTTCTACGTACTTCCTGTGACATTGCACAGATCAGATAGAGTATAGTTTGTAGATTTGTGTCTTCTTGGAATCAGGGCCTTCATTTATACACCTAGAATTAAGACAATTGGCACATCTTGAATCAAGTCTGAGACTTAAATTACCATGCTAAATAAAGGTGTTCTTATCATTAACAAAATTAAATTAAAACGTGACTTCTGTCTTTTTAGTTTTGTAATGTGTGTTTCATTTTTGTTTTGTTTTCATTGCTGTTTTTTAGGAATTAGTCGGTTTTCTATTAATGAAGTTATTGAATCTTCTATCCTGATTCCCTTAGATTGGACTTAGCTCTTCTCAGATATACTTGGTACAGTTACTTTAAGAATCAGATATGCAGCTCATGCTTGAGATAGAGATAAGGCATATGGTCATAATTCTAGATTTCAGGTGCCCTCATGGTCTGGCTATAGGATTTAAAACTATTACAAAGAAGAAAAAAATCTCATAGCAGCCATCACAACAATTCATATTTTATGTACTTTTTATAATGACTAAGCAAGATAGTTTGATTCTCTGTAATTACACCAAACATAATATTTAAGTTTTCTGATTATGTCTGACCTCTGGATTGATGGGGGGAAAAAAGAGAATGAAATGTGTAATGCTTATACAGTATTCTCTAACTTCAGTAGGGGGGAAAATAGCCTACTAGCATCATTCAAAGTGTGTTTATGCTTTCTAAATTTCTAGGTGAAAAAGTGTTTGTATCTCTGTATGGAGCTGCCATAGACATGAATATAAGGCTGGACAAGAATTCTTTGATCATTGAGAAAACCTACATATCTCTGGCGAATCAGCGAACTGTAACTATTTACAACCGTAGTAACATCATTGCCCATTTCCAGTGGAAGATATTTGCTGCCCAGGAAGAAGAAGACAGAGAAAAGCATAGGTTTGTAAGAAAAATCACGGATATGCTGTAATTGGGGAGAACATAAAGCAAAGTTATTATGAAAAAAATCAGTGACTTTTATGGTAAATTTTTAACCAACTCAACAATGTCAAAATTTTATAACATCATTCCAATGTATGGTGCTCCTGTTGCACTTAAAGAATTTGATTTGAGCTATGTGGAACACAATATTGTTCTTTCCCAGTTAACCTTAACCTGTTATAATTTATCAGTAGCTAAACTACTAGATTTTAAACACCAAATATATCATTCTTTATTATTCTCTCAAAACTAATCTACATGTCTGTATTTTGTTTCATAACCCTAACCAGACTGATTAGATTTCATAGCATTTCTAAAATAATCTCTTTTGGCTTGCTATCAATGCAGAATTTTTTTTTTTTTCAGTGAAAAGATATCTCCAGAAAATAAGAATGAGGAAAAAGGGCTTACATATATAACTGCTTTTATATTCTCAGTTTTAGTAGCATTATGGAATCCCTGCTAACCATGTAATTTAATAATGATTTCGTCTTGGTATCTTTAATCTCCTGCTTTTTAAAGTGATACTGCAGGCAGTGGAGAAAATTAATAAAATGTTAAACCAAACTCTTTTTAACTAATCTCTTCACTGTGAAATTTTGATTATTTTTTAGTGGCTCTACCCTAGCTTCTTTTAAACTCCTTCCATCCTCCCTGAATTAGGCTTTTGCTGCTTTCATTGGAATTTATTTCAGCCTTTTTTATTTGCCTCTCCAGTTTCATTAAAGATTAGCCCTGGGAAGCTTCAAAGCTTTGTTTAAAACCAAGTTAGAATGTGATAAAAATAAAAGTCTTAGGTCCATGGAAACCAGGAAGAAATCCCCCACTGTGCTGCCCTTAATTGAATCAGAAGGAGCCGAGACAATGACGGGACACAGTGGACCAAAAGCTTCATCGTTCAGACAATGAGCTTTAATCACTGGATTGCAACTGTGCCATCTTTAAATAGTAGAAAAGAAAAGCCGTTCCTGCCTAAAAACTTTAGTTTGCCTCATGGTGGAGAAATACCAGTAGTTTAAAAAGGCAATAGGAAACCGCTCATCTACTGCTTCGTTTGTTCGATTCCTCAGCTGACGTATCTGTACCAACAATCAGAATGGTCCAAGAGTTTAAAAGAGAAAATGGGAGAGCAGGTATAAACAGAGGAACAATAGTAAATGTAGCGTTAAATATCCTGTTTGTCCTGTAGGCATAATCTTTTGGGGAGAATGAGTATACACTGTCAGAGAGCCAGCTGTAATTTCAGCTCTCTGTGTTTGACTATATATGTATAGGACATGATTGATGCCATGCCTATATCCAAAAAGTATTTAAGGAAGTTAATTTCAACAGTGAAACTGAAGAAAAATTGAAACCAATTGCTATCAGAGATGCTAAGGTATAGAGAATATAATTTCAACTGCACATGTATGGATATTTCTCGTCTTTTTTCCTCCCACTCCACCTATGACACTCACACCTTTATCTCTTTAATATTATCTTGGTCTTATTCCTTTTCTCTTGTATTGTCTTTCTTTCACTATCTCCATTACTCTTTGTATTAGTTCCTCTAGCAATATTTTTGTAGCAAGAAAATAATATGGGATAGCGTTTTCATAACCATAACTCGAAGCCTAATTTTATCATCTAGAATCATGCCCCTCCCTTAAACAATGAACTTGAAAAGTGGCTTCAGATGGCTAAATAAGAATACCTCTATTTTCACTTTGGGTAACACATAACATAACTCATGTTTCTTCAAACGACTAGTTGATCTAAGTGAAGAGTTGATTGAATGTGCTGCTTCTTACCCCCTCCTTTCTCCTCTCCTAGGGCCAGATGCCTGGGGCAAGAAGGGAAATTGATTTGGAAGGGAAATAGGTCATTTATTAAATAGACCTAATATCTTATTTGTCCAGGTTGTCTCTTCTCTTTCATTCCTCTCTTGTCCCTTGATATATCCCCAAGCATGCCACGCAACTCATATTATTAGTCATGGATTCTTGTCCTGGACATAACTGGCCACGAAATGCCCATCCTCTCAAAAAGCAAGGCAAATACAGAGAGATTTGTCCCTTACTGAACATTTAGTTCCTGTCTCTGGATAGCTGCCCCTCTGTAGGTGGCAGTGCTCTTGCTATGGGTGTGGGCACCCTTCGCCTCCACATCACAAATCCTCAGATTATATCTCAGGCCACACATCAGTGGCAGACACAGTAGAATGTTTTCTGGTAGCTTGCTTGTAGACAGATGTTTGCTTATCCCTGAGAAGCAGCAGTCAGATCTCTAGCTTATGGTATAAATCCTCTTTTGAGCTGTTCAACTCTCCTGCTCCTGACTATGAGCAACCTCTCCCTTTTCTTCCTTCATCAGCCTCTGTAGTTAAAAAATGTAGAAAGGTCGATTTTGGTCTTGAACTTGGAACAGAGAGGATCTGTGCTAAATGGGCCTATGCATACTTTGAGAAATTAAAGTTTTCCTTTGCAGCACCCCAAGGACCTAAGATTTAAAACTTTAGTATGGACTTTTAGGTGAGACTAAAAAGTCTGTCCACTGCTTTCTGGCTATAATATGGTTTAAAGCTTGTCCTGAGGCATTTACCTTACAGGATCTGAAAGTTGCTCCAGGGTTACTTTGAGAAGGCTAATTGCTTTAACCCATGCCCTCAAGACTTCAGAAATTCCCACTGGAGGAATTTCAGCCCGACTCAGGAATAGGAAGCCCTATTCCTGGCAGTTTATCATTTCCATTCTGGGAAGGATGACTTCTTTTTTATCCACATATCTCAACACATTGGTACCAACCTTAGGACATGTGTCCTGATTTGGGGACCTTGGCCTAATTCCAGAGTCTAGACTCTGAAAATGAAGATTTCTCTCCCCCTAGGAAGAGGTGCTGGGCTCTGAGGTTTTTTTTTTCCATTTTTATTTAAACCTCTAGAATGAGATATAGGGACCTTTAAAAAAATTACCTTTTGGATCTTTCTCTTTTTTGAAGGTTTTCTGGGACTTGCAGAGAAAGTAATTTCTTTAGCAGTGGAGGCTGCATTTATCCCTCCTTACTTCCTCCACCTTGTCCTGAGGGATTATGAAACATACTACAGGATTCTTTCATTCTCAATCTTATTACAGCTTATTATATTCAGAGACTCAGCATAGACTTTTGAGGATTTCTGTTCCCCAGTTCTCCATGAAGGTCATGACCATTATCTCAATAGCAGCTGGCTCTAATTCTAGATCTGCTCTATGCAGTAATTCCTTGAATTCTCAATGGACCCCTCACAAGTGGTCAGCATGGATTTATTCCACCACATTCAGATGTAGGAAATGATATGTTCCTTTAGATAGATCAGTTTTAATTGGGCTTTGAGCCTACCACCAGGAAGTAATAAGTTTAATCTTAGTTGTGTTTGGGGTCCCTTCCCTTCTCTAGGGTAATATAGGAATCTGAAGACTTAGATGGTATGTGGTAAACAAGAAGAGGACCTCTAGTCCTCAGTTTATAACAGTCATCACAGAGTTGCTCAGTGTTCAGAGTCTCATGGTCCTTTTGAAGGAGGATGGCTTTATCCTTTCCATTGCCAGGTGTGCACATGGGAGTGTTTCTCTCAGCCATGAAGGCTTTGGTTTTTAACCTCCTCAGCATCCAGTTACCACCTCTTGGGGCCACTGCAAAGGAGCAGAGTCGCTTTCACCTGAAGGTGAGGGGCATTACTGGTTCAGTGTTACTGTACCCAAGACACAAGTCTTCCCTACTGACTGTAGTCCATAGGCTGGACTGTACTTGATGCTTGACGGTGATGGGCATTGGTGGCTACTATACTTTTGGGAAAATAGGTTAAATCCATGGTTTTACCGAGAGGGAAGGCTGATGTATGTTACACTCTCTGATGAGAGGTGTCCTCATCTGTAGAATAGAACCACCTCTAAAGCAGGAAACCATAAATATCAGCAGGACAAATGGCCAAACAATAGACTGAGATATAGAGAAGCTTTTGTTGGAGTCAACTCAGCCCAAGGTGTTGTTGCACGTTTCCTTCTTACACTCTCAACCACGGCTCTGGTTCTCTATCGGAGGGCAAAGAGAAAGACGTGTGGTACCTATCTCTACCTACTCCTGCCCCTCCACATTTGGGAATTGTTTTGTTCTCTTTTGTTTTCTGAGTTAATCGTACTCCTCAATTCATGGAGCATTATCATCCTTGGTCTGTACGAGGCATTTTATCCCTGCACCCTACTCCTGCTAACCTCCTAAATAAATGTAATGTTCATGATTCACATTATTTGTTTAACCAATCCTTCAATCTACCCACATTTTTTGTGTGTTATTGCTAGCACTTCGATTAACATCTTTGTAGCTGTGTTTTTATTTTTATCCATGGTTGTTTTTTAGGATTTATTCTTAAAGATCGGTATCATAAATTCCACTTGCAAGAAGTCATGGTTTCCTTTCTTTCTATGGACTGAGCTCTCTTTAATTCGCGCTGCTCTGCCGACAGTATAGGACTGCTGCCCTCGTTACCTTGGACACTGCTTCCCAAATAGCAATAAAAGGGAAGCACAGAATGCTATATTCCTTGGAACCAGAACACACTGAACCCATTTCTCCAACATCTTTATACTATATAGCCAAAGGAGCCTGAACACTGAAGTTATTAAAAAGAGTTATTTGTCTTTGCTGAGCATATGGTTTTCATAAAGTTATTTAGAAAATACTTGGGGCTGGGACAGGAATTCATTGCCCCCAGGCTCTCATTGAGTGAGCTAAAGAATTCATTTCTCATCATTGGTAATACCAGTAACATGATGGGGAAATGGTCAAATGCCTTGGGAGGAGATAAAATTCAGTCTTTGAAATTCAGATGAAGTAACTGATACCAGGAGTAATGTGAACACACCTTCGGTGACAACAAGGAGTAGAGGGGCTGGGGAAGGCTGCTTTTCTTAACTATCGCTAGTAATATGAAGAGCTAGAAAGAGAAAAGGAGCTGTCTTTAGGTGTATTTTCAGCGTTTTATAAACTTGACAGCTTGGTAATTGCCTGTGGTTGACACAGGGAGCAAACTGGTATTTATTGAGCACCTGCTTTGTCCCAGGAACTGCACCAGGTCCTTGATCACTTTTAATCCTCGACACATCTTTATGACAGAGGAGCTCCTATTATTTCTGTTTTATAGATGAAGGCACTGGCTTAGAGGAAATAGATAACTACCAAAGTCACAGAGCTAGTAAATAATTAGAATCAGTATCCAAACCTAGTCATTGCTAGTTCTAGATTGTGTTCTCCAGGTAACTTAACAGCTAAGAAAGAATTAAAGCTAAGCAAGTTTAAAAGAAACAAAATTGTCCTTGAAGTGTGAGAGGCTGGGTAAATGTTAAGTATTTAAAAAACAATCTAGAAACACAATTACCTAAAATAAAATACTTGTCCAAACATGCATAAAGGCTCAGGAGTAAGCAAGTGGGCTTTGAGAATGACAAGAAGCCTGGGAGGACTTCTGGAAGGAAGTGGCTAAAGAACAAAGTGAAGTTAAAGTACACGGTCACTCAGCTAGCTCAAGGAGGGGCCAACCCAGGGTGATGGGCGAAACCATTCCCAGGAGGATGGACTACAGGGGAGCCCTTTACAGTGTTCTTCATGGGGTTACTGGAATGAATCTCACATTTCTTGTTTTTCTTTAGGGTCTGTGAAGATCTGATCAAAGAGGAAAAGAATGAGACTGATGAGTTTCTTGAAGAGTGCGTTATTGATCCTTCTCTCCGAGAACGTCTTTCCATTATTTCCCGTACCTTTGAGAATCAGAGACAGCTGATTCGGGCAGACAGCGTGCTCTTCTTGAATAACATTTTCACTGTTGAGCCCCTGGTGAGCACATACATACAGTCTGACCATGTGGTAAACATAAGTGGGAGTGTAGGGCTTATTTTGATGAGAATACTCACTCTGGTTTGATACAGTGAGTTTTGAGAGCATAAAGATTCCATCTGAAGAGCCTTATCACTATGAGACAATGAATGAAGGTTAATGGTAAAAATTCTCATAGGTCACACTTTCTATGCCCCAATCACTGTTAAGTACTTGGTATGCATTACCCAGTTTATCTCGTTCACATCTATATATTATCAGTTATAGTCAGACCCCCATTCTACAGTTGAGGAAATTGAGACCTAGAGAAATTTGATAACTTACTCCAGGCCAAGGATAGAAATTTATTCTTGATAAGCCTGACTCTAGAGCAAGGTTTCTCAACCTCTGCATTATTGACCCTTGGGGCTGAATAGCTCTTTGCCCTGTACATTGTAAGATGTTTAATGGCATCCCGCCAGATGCCGTGACAACCAGAACTGTCTCTGGACATTGCCAAATGTCTACTGTTGGGAAAAACTACTTGGTTAAGAACTACTTTGTTCTTAATTCACTTAATAAATACTTACTAACTACACGTTCCATGCCAGGCACTCTGTATGTACCGGGCATCGATGAGCAAAACAGACATCGTCCTCGACCTCACTGTCTAGCTATTGAAAGTAGAGCCAGAGTTAGAATAGGGTCTGTTTGATCCCACAGACCAAACTTTTGAACACTCTGCCCTACTGTCTCAAAATGAAGGTAGCTAGCATATTCCAAATTTACTATATGCTGGGTGCTGTGCATCACCTCACACCAAGGAAGCATAGAATGATGTGAGGATAAAGACAAACAGGAGTTAAGAAAGCCCACAGCTAGTTAGAGCTGCTGGATTGTTACCATTCAGACAAATTATAGAGAAGACATGGGCACAAGGACACATTCAAATACAAGGTCATTTGTGGAAAATGCCACTGACTTGTGTAGACCTGTTGTCCTTATGTCTGCACTTCCAAACTGTTATTAAAGGATATAACATAGGAAAGGGATTCCATGACAAAATAAGTTTCAGAAACACTGGGTTCAGTATTGTTTGAAATCTGCTGTACGACTTCTAAAAGTCTTTAATATAATAATGTGCATTGTCAGTTTCCGAGAGGAAACCTTCCATTTGGAGACTTTCTTTGGGACTATTGTTCTATGAGACCTGCTGTGGGAATCACTGGTGAAGACAGCCTGAGTCACTAGTTCAGAGGCTAAGTTTCTAGGCTAAGGTGATTGTTATAGACTATAAAGTTAAGTTAGAGAAGTCTTCTTGAGAGCAGAGCCTTGAACTGGGTCTTATAGGATAGGACTTTTGGGGAAAAAAAAAATTGGAGATGTGCATGACATGGCTCATTCAGGTTACCATGAGTGAATCAGCTTGTTTGAAGGAAAGAGTTCATATAGGAAAATAAGGAGAAGTGGGTTGAGGCTGAATCTTCTCTCACATGAGAAAGCTGTCCAGGGATCTTCAGATATAATGGATTACATCAAGAAGTCAAATCATAATGAACATGCAGTCTTGGAAGGACAAGAAAGATACTTATTCAAATAGGTCAAGCCCAACGAGGTTGAGAAAACCAGGAAGGCATTACAAATCTAAGCAAGGAAGAAACTGAGCAGAGCAGAGGCAAGGAGGAGCAACCAGTCATGGCGACCTTAGACGTGCTGGCAAAGTCCCGAGTGTAGACACTCTAAGATTCTTCCCAGCTGGTACTTGGGATCCAGGTGATGACTGCTGTCTTGTTTCTTATACCCTTCTGGGAGTGGATGACTTAAGGATGGCAAACATTGGGGGTCAGGAGGAGATGGGAGGCCCACAGGCAAGTCTTGTACAGTTCCAGTCCAGTAGAAAGACTAAGGTTACCTCAGATTTTCTTCTCCATAATCTGAAGCTTCTTGATAGAGATATATGTATTAAAATAAGGCATTTAATATGATTGCTTTTGGATTCTAGATAGGAACTGAATTGGGCATTCTTATCATAAGGGCATTCTTTTCACCATTAGGAAGGAAAACACCTTTGAAAACAGTGACACACAAAAATGGTACCTTTTAAATAAATGAGACTAATTTTGTTAATATTGTGTGAAAAAAAAAAATCACCAGAAACAGGAAGGTGATAGTGATGTTTATAGCATCATAATGCTTTTGTCTTCCACGTGCACTATTCAGGTTTTCTTCTCACAATAGTTTTCATTATCTGGTTCTTGACAATTTTCGCAAAATGAAAATGAAGGCATGAAACTTTCCTAGAGTCTTCGTAAAGTTATTCTTGTCAAAACATCAGAACTCAGTGTCAGTTATAGTAAATTATTTATTGAGGTTAAATCTCCATTTCACCCCCTACTTAAAGATCCTTATAGTTTTATAGAAATACAGTTCTTGTGAGTGTAATGTAATCTTACCTTGTAAATTACTTTTGAAGGTATTTTATGGGAAAATTCTGCCATTTTATTAGCTTCTTGACCCAAATGTGAACTATGGGTAACTTCCATTGTTGGGATTTTGGTTTTCTGGAACAGGTAAATAAATGCTATAGTAGTTTCGGATGAGAGAGTTGGGAAAGGATTTATAGAAAAGACAAGATCTGAACTGTGTATTGGAGGAAGGGTAAGATTTAATTAAGTAGAAAGAAAGAATGTTTCCAGTTGGAGAAATTATGAAAACTAAGAAAAGGGAAAGTATTAGTTTCATGGCATATTACATAACAATAAAACTACTGAGTTTTCTGGGGCAGGCAATCATGGAGAATAAAAAATAAGATTGGGAAAGAGAGTAGAGGAAATCTGGGCTGCCTAGTCAACCTGTTGTGCTATAGCCTCCAGGTTATTGTCCCCCACAGTGTATTTCTGCAAACAATGGATCCTCAGGGGTGGTAATAAGTGTTCTTTGGCAAAAGCAAATTTTATGGGCAAATAAGTTTGGGAAATTCCGGTTCAAGAAAAGATAATTCTCCAAGTGGTAGAGTTCAAGCAGTATTTCCCCGTGGCCATAGACCCTTTTCCCCACACAGTATGCCAAGGGTATCTGAGACTGACTGCAGGGCTCAGAGCAGGAGCATGTGTTCAAGGTGTTTCAGGTCTGTTATCCTAGTAGTCACATGCAGATCAAGTCAGAGGAGGGTAGATAGAAAGTGGAAGGGTCGGTGCTGGTCAGGTAGGGGAAATGCACTAGTACAGAAAGAGTCAGGGAGACTGACGCATCTACAAGTTCAGGGTGATGTGTGAGGATGATACTGACCTGGATGGTTGGCCTGGTGATGGTTGGAAAGCAAAGGAAATGGCAGATGTGAGAGATGTTCATAAGAAAGGCATTAAAGTGCTTTCTGATTGACTGGTCATTGAGAGTGAGGCATGGTGAGGAATGATGTGTCTACTCAGAACCTAAACTAGAGTGGAAGGAAGAATTATGATGTCTTTCATAGAAATTAGCAAGTCAGGAGTCCTGGGTTTAATTCCTAGCTTTGCCAATAATGAATATGACCTTAAATAAGCCATTTGATCTCTCTTGGCTTCAGTTGCATTGTCTACAAAATGAGAATTTTTTTTTTTAAGGGTAGGACACTGGATACTTTTTGACTCATAAGTTATGAGTCTCCATTTTGGGAACAGACTCTGAGCTCCTGAAGGTCAAAGAATGCCTTGTCCTCATCTGTGCTTTAGGCCTACCATTGTGCCAATTAATGGAGGAAGGAAGGAAGAAGGGAGGGAGGGACAAATAGAGGGAGGGAGATCAGTTAATGATGATGAGTTTGGTTCTGAACATGTTGAATTCGAAGTGATAATAGATGTCCAAAAAGTTTTGGAAATGCAGTAATAAATTTGTGGGAGGGCAGTCAGGAGTGGAAGTCAGATGTGAGAATCTTACAGAGTTCTTCGCTGAAGGCATGAAAAGCAGATGGATATTCCAAAAGCAGAGCAAAGAAGGAAAGTCATAGAAGGCCCAACACAGCCTGCAGGTGCTCAGCTTTCGAGAGACACTGCAAAGCGAGGAGAGGCTGTGAATTCACAGGGAAGGATGACTGAGAGGAGACCAGCCAGCGGAGAGCTCATCAGCCTGTCCTACATACCTTTCTACCCTTGTGGTTGGTTCATCACTATTTTCTACTGAAGTTCTCTTCTGAATCTTGCTCATGATCAGATCAATTATGCCAAAACCACTATTTAATTTCTGGCAGTAGAGCAGTTGAGCTTTGCACCAGCAGTGAATATTTTTTTTATTAAAGTATATTTCCTTTTAATTAGCTTCTCAATATGAGTTGAATTCACAGTAGAGAGATTAAAACCACAGTTACCTATTGATCTAACAATCAATCTGTAATTGATATCTTGTTCAAAAATTAAAAATAAAAGGTTGATCTAGGGGTTTAGGGACTGCCAGCCTGTGTGTCCACTGAAGAAGGACATCGTCTTCAAGTGAGGTGAACTTTAGAAAAGGAAAGAAAAAAAAACTTTATCTTAGTGTCTGAAAAGAAAGAAGAAATGATATGAATGATATACTTATTTTCTCAGACCTGGGTCTGTATATCTTCGTTCTTCAAATGAGTCAGCTACAACCAAGGTTAGTTTAGCTCTTATTGTGTTCTCTGCCTATTGTGTGTTTTGTGGGAACATTGTACCTATTATAGAGGTTTTCACAATTCAGAGCAAGTAGATTCAAGATGAAGAGATCAGTCACTGTCCCTAAAATGCCCAGAGGTGTGATGGGTTTGAATTTAATAAAATTTTATTAATATAATCAGGTGAGAAGTAATTTTATACAATGCTATAAGAATGACAGACCAAAACTCTAGAACTGAAAGTTCTTACTCTTCTACAACCTGTTTACCCTTGGCCCCGGGTGAGTCCCATTGTCTTGGCTCACTTTCTTTTTTCTCATTATGCTCATTGCATAACGTTCCCATAGGGTCTGTTGTTTGAACCTTGAGGAGCTATACCCAGGGCATCTTGGGTACCAAGGTGGTAGCAGAGGGC